GCAAACAAACAAAAAACCCTCCTATAAACCAATAAGAAAAACAGCTAGCAAATACCTAAGTAGGTATTCACAAAAGAAGTTATCCTAATGGCAAGTGAGCAATAGTCATTAATTATCAGGAAAATGCAAACTAAGACCACAATGAGATATCAGTGTACACCTACCAGTATGAATAAAATTAAAGACTGACAATATCAAATGCTGATGAGGAAGTGAAGCAACTGAAACTCTCATTCACTGCTAGTAGGAGTGTTAATCAGTACAATCAATTTGGAAAAATCTCTAGTAGCACTTATTAACTACTCACACCCTATGATCCAGAAATTCTTCTGAGTCTACACCCAACAGAAATGCATTCATGCATACACAAAAAGACATATACAAGAATGATCCTGACAATACTGCTTGTAACAGCCAAAAACTGTAAACAACCCAAATGCCCATCAATATGAGAATGAATAAACAGCTTGTGGTATAGTTATACAATGGAAGACTATAAATCAATACAGGACACTATAGTATACCACACCATATACAACAATGTGCATGAATTTCATAAATATGATATTGAGCAAAAGAAGTCAGACACAAGAGTGTACAAAGTATGAGCCCACGAATTTTACTAAGTTCAAAACCAGGCAAAAGTAGTCTCTGATGGTGTCTATCTTTGAGAAGGAACAAGGGTAGTAGTTACTGGCCAGGAGCAGGAGGGAGGCTCAAAATTGACAGCTTAGAAGAGCAAAAATATGTAAAAGACAAAAGATTGCTAGAAACTGGGCACTGGCCTGTACTAGGGGATCTGCATGTCAACCTGGTCAACATTTATAGATCTCAGAAAAGGCTTGACTGCCCCTCCTGGAGAAAATCTGGCTGGATCTTGCCTCAGTCAAAGAAGAGTAGAGAACACGCACTAATGTGTAGTCTCTGAGGAACAAAAATGCCACAAAAAAAAACATAAAACGAGGTACACCATCCAAAAGACTCAGAGAAATAACGTAACTTTAAAAGAGATTTGACATAATAGTCAGGAAAATATTTTATCCAGAAATTGTTCATCCTAAATATATAATCCAAGAGACATGGCTTCCACTTGCCATATAAAACAATGCTGAAGTAAATAGAAAAATATTTAAAATAAGCCCAAATATCAAGAAAACTAAAAATGCAAAGGCAGAATTAAAACCCACAAGGAAAGATCTATTCTTCTTGAACTGGGGTCTTTGTCGATGGAGTATAGAAAAATAAATAAAAAATCCCAGCACTTTGGGAGGCCGAGGCAGGAGGATCGCTTGAGCCCAGAAGTTCGAAGCATTCATAGCCTCTCAGAACCAAAGCGCTGTGCAGAGGAATCAGTATGACATGAGAGAGGAGGGGACGGGGACCAGGAAAGCAAAAGAGAGGTATTCAGGGAAGGCTTCCTGGAAGCAGCATTTGCAGAACACTTAAGTTCGAAGGCAGGGATGTCAAACTACAGCCCCTGTGAGGGCCAAGCCAGCCCACCACCTGCTTTTGGATGGTCCATGACATAAAAATTAATTTTATATATTTTAAGGATTACATTTTAAATGGTTATGTAAGTACTTACATAATATCCTTGATTTCGCCTCTTAACCAATAAAGCATAAAATATTTATAATCTGATCCTTTAAAGAAGTTTGCCAATCTCTGTTCTAAAGCACAAAAAAAAAAAAAAATCACGAGAAAGCATATCAAAATCATAGCTAACATTTGCCGAGAGTTTACTATGTGCTGTGTGTGCTACACTCTGCAGACATTATTTCATCTTCGCAATATGCCTATAAAGAGGATATTATCCCTACGTTACAGAGGAGGAAACTGAGTCACAGAGAAGTTAGTAACTTATCCAGAGTCTCGGTAGCCAGTGAGTGTAGAATCTGATGCCACTGTTGCCCTCCCAGTCACTAACTGAGATGCCCGTCCAAGTCCCTGCAGAGAGAACATGAGAGCAGAGACTAAAGCACAAGACACGTGAAAGACAAGTCCCCACCTGGCTGAGAAAAAAGAGAAGCAGAGGCCAGAAATGGGTCAAATTGTGGTGGGAATTGCCAAGTAGGAAATTATTCTGCAATCGATGCATGGTAAATAGCATGAGCATACGGTAATTTCACTTTAAGGCTGTTACAGTAGCAAAAGATTAGAAGCAACCTAAATGTGGATCACCTGAAGGTGGTTAAATTATAAAACGCCATGAAATCTTTTTAAAAAAACAAGGCTATTCTTTATCTTCATTGTATTGGTCAGCTATTGCTGTGTAACAAACAACCCCAGGCTCTTAATGGCACACAATCAGCATTTACTTCTCAGGCATCTGTAGAGCAGCTGGGCTCAGCTGGGTGGATCTGGGCTGCAGGTTGGGCCCTGCCTGTTCCACTCATGACTCAGCCTCCTTGGACCAGTGGTCCAGGGGGCACATTCTTCTCATGGAGATGGCAGAGGCCCACAAGGCAAATGAGACAAGCAAAGCCTCAGCTCAGAACGAGCACATGGTCCCTTCACCTTAGTCTGTTGGCCTAAACAAGGCACATGGACCAGCCCAAAGCCAAGGGACTTTCACCTTTTGAAAAGAGAACTGAAAAGTTATTAATACATGGCAAAGAGTGTGGACATGGGGAAAGGTGAAGAATTACAGCAATGACTCAACCAACTTCATAAACTGTTACAGAACAACATCCAGAATGTATTTTGGATATTGCCACAGCCAACGCTGCTCCTTAATCACAGTGACAGCCATGGACATATTCTCTCCCTTAAAGTGGATGCTCCCCAAGGGTGACTTCCCCATTAGAGACCAGTTCTGTAATGCCATCCGCTCACACAACACGATGTGGTTACGTTCTGCACTGGCCACCACCTTGACTGCGATGCGGCTGGCATCTGTAGCACCCCAACATTCTTCCGCATCTCCCTCGAGGCCCCCTAGTGCAACCCTAGGAGATGCTAAGAGGCGGATGGACTCAGGGTCCTGAAAATGCCCCAGTGCACATCCGAAGCCCCATTTGCTCAGCCCCTGACCCCAGGCCTCTGTTCCTCACCGCTACACCAGCCTGCCACCACGTGCATCGCCGCCATGGCCACCACCCACACATCAGAGATCCGCCAGTTGCTTTTGTCCTTAATTGTCCTCAAACCTCCCCCTTTTTTTTTCTTTAATAGAAGAAGTCTCACAGGCTAAAAATGACAGCTAGGGCATTCAGTGACTCAGAGCCACGTTGGCCGCCTTTGAGAACAGCGACCCTAACCTGACAGGGCTGCAAGGCCAAGGTCAGGAGACAGCCCCGACGGGGCCAGTGCAGGGTGCGGTATGTGGAGGGGGTATATCCGTGGCAGAGTCAAGCTCAGACATCAGTGTGTGTGTGTATAGAAATGGACCTTCCAAAATCCTTCTGAAAATGCCTCCCAGAATTTCAATACCATCCAATTCCGGTAATGAAGAACTAAGATAATTCAAACCAACCCTCTGCGGAAGCTACTAAAAAAATCTGGACAAAATATGTTGTCAAATATGTGTGAAAGCATTTAAGAATGAACAAGACAGTGAAGAACTACCAGGCCCAGAGCTGATGGCAGCAAGAACCCAGAGAGGCGAGGCCAACACTCAAAGCTGCCTTAGCCATGTGGCATTTGTGATCCTAAAGAAACAGCTGGTGCTGTGTCAGCCTGCAAGAGCACAAAAAGTCAGCATCCAAGGCCTGCTCCAGGTGGGCAGTTCTATTGCCCCCATTCAGGTGAGCCGCCAAAGGACCACAGCGTCAGGGTGAATCAGCATAAACACAGCCCAGCACCACGCTGCGTGCATGCACTCTCCCAAACATACGGAATCCTCCCGATGGGCACGGCACACGCCTGCCCACTTTAAGATGGAATACATTTCACATCGGGTGAGTGACGGTGAAATTTCACTATTGTTGACTCTGTTTGTGCTTTAGCAGGTACCTTAGTCATCTCTGTGATTCCTTCGATGGCAAACTCTTGGTTAGAAGCACAGCCTCATTCATTACCTCGTGCCTAAGGAAACACGCAGTTCCCTCTGTGACAACCAGCTCTGTTACACGGCTTACGGGCTCACATGTCAGCGGAAAATGAGTCCTGCCTCTGCAAATGCAAATTTGTGAAATGCACCGTTTATTCTGAGCAGCCCATATTGCAAAGCAAAAAGTCTAGAATGAGAAAATCTTGGGTTCAAATCCCTGTTGTGCCACTTACAAACTGCACAATCCTAGGCAAATTACCCCAAGTCATTTTCCGCATCTGTAAGATACGGATGATGATAATAATACCTACTATACCACAATAATAATACCCACTCAGAGGGGCCCTGGGAGATGTCAAATATTGGGCCAAGTGCCTGGCAACTGCACGAGTGCTCAATAAGTGGCTGCTATTACTAATACCAGCAGAAATGTGATCCTGGACACCACAGTTTTGAACAATAAAAATACAATAATAGTAATAGCCGTAGCTAGTGGGCCAGAGCTTATTCCTGTGTCTAGAACTAATACCTCTGAACATTCTAAGGTAGGTAGATAAAGGACCAATTTGTTCACGTGACCATAAGACACCAGGCCAAGCACTGAGTATTTTGGAAGCAGAAGACTTGATCTCTGACCACAGAGGTTTCTGGGCCGGGATGGGAAATAAGAAATGCACACCCAAGACTGTGGGCAGCTAAGAGGTCCCACGAGAAAGGAAATGATGTTGTCTTCGAGGAGGGAGAGGGGGGAAGCAACCAAGAGCTCCAGGAAATTCAGAAATGACTTTAGTCGAATCAATCGGGAAAATCTGGCTGTGAGGTCTGATACGCTGCAGACGCCGCGGGAAGTTCTCACCCCCGCACTATGGATAAGAATAGACAGCAGCCCCCGGGGAGCCCCACGCCCGGGGAATCTGTAGTCGGGCTGCCGCACCAGGGCCTGCGCCCTCCCGCCTTCCCGGGACAGGTGACAGGACCCAGGCAGGGGCTCTCTGGGAGCCTCACTTACTCTCTCTGACATCGTCATGGGCCATGGGGATGTTGTGATCATCGTTGGCAGCCTTCTCAGAGCTCTTGGTTCTCATGCCTTTTCTGTTGCTTTTTTTACCTAAAAAGGGAGAGAGAGAGATGCCTTTACTTCCACATATGTCAGGGAAGGCTCAGGATGCCGAGAACTCAACCATCCTCCCCGCACAGCAGCCAGCTCCCCCTCTGCTCCCCTGACCCCAAAGATGGTGCCATGGACTCTAAGGGGTCTCTGGTTAAAGGAAAGGAAAGCATGCTATTATAAACACCTAGGAAGATAAACTCTCCTAATAAAAACAATGTACACTTGTGCAAGCCGTCACCACCGTAAGATTGCTGAATGTTTTTCGCAGTAGGTTCGACCCTGACGGAGGCCCAGGGCTATCATATATAATTGCTGGGACAGGACGTGGAAGTCCAGAGCCAGCATTTTGCACCATGCTGGGCTCCTCCCACCCCACTCTCCGAGGCCCTGGCTTGGTCCCTGTGTGTGATGACGCTGCCTCCAGTTAGAGAGCCTCCTTGCTGTGGCCTGGGAGGCCTGCCTGCCACACTCCTGCTGACCTCCCAGCTGCTTCTCACCCTGCACTCTCCTCTCTCTGCTCCAGCAACGGTGCTTCCTCTCAGCCTTCAGTCACGCTTCCTCCCCACCACAGCGTTGCACGTGCTGCTCCTCTTCCTGGAGTTCCTTTCGCTTCACTCCCGAGCCAATTACAGCTAATTAGCTCCTGCAGATCTTGTAAATCTCAGCTCTGGCATCACCTCCTTAAACTGGCCTTCCTGACCTCCCCACCAGAACCAAACCCTCCTTTGATGGGCTCTAATAGCACCTGTCTTGGGCCAAGTCACCTCTAAGCAGAGCCTGATGCAGGGGTTTGGGTGCATATGACGCATCGAGGGAGGGAGGGAGACAGGGAGGTAAGGAGCATGGGGTTGCCCCCACTTGAAACAAAGGGCTGCCGTTGCTGCTGCACTTGGCCTCTGGCTACAAACTGACCAACTGGGGAATGGGAGATGCAGCCTCCCCAGGGCAATTTTGCAGAGGTGAGAACAGCTGTGAGCCACCCGTGGCTGAGGACCGCCCCCTGCAGCTGGAAGACAGGTGTACCTGCGGGAAAGAACACCTGGGCAGGGCGTCGGCAGCCCCGCCACAGCTCGGCACGCCTGTCCTGGGAGGCAGCCTCACAGTGGCAGTGGGAAACATCTGTTCCTGGGGCAGGGACTACGTCTGGCTTTGCTCACGGCTCTGTCTCCAGAGCCTGGGAAATGAGAGGTCTCATGAAGGAATGAACAGACGAACAGACCAGCAAGGCAGTGGATGACCAAACAGACAAAAACAAGAGGTGGGCAGGTCTGTGGAGAAAAACACTTAGTTTGGATTGTAAAAAGTAAGTTGAAATACCAAAAAACATATAGTAGATTGTGCCAATTAACAAATCATTTCAGATTAATCTACAGTCACCACCCCCCGTAAAAAGTATACTTATTAAGAAAACCTTAAATCTTCAAGAGGTCAAGGGGCATATTGGGCTCAGCCAAGAGAAATCCTCTTTTCGTTATGTTCTGGGGTGATGCCTGCTGGAAATATCTCTCATTTTTCATGTAAGCCGGAAAAAAAAAAAAATCACAAAATTAAGTGTCCTGATTAGGGTCTACAGCCGCTAAAGCAAAACTTTCATAAAAGCCAGAGGAGAAAGGCTGACCCAGAGACCTGGCACGGCCACATCTGCCTTGATGCCTTGCTGGCGTGTGGCCCATTTCTGTGAGCAGGAACGTCACGGCTGGCAGGAAAACCGTCAAAGAAGGCCACCTCCAAAAGAGCCTGACGGAGGGTTTGTAAAGACCTTGGCTGTTTGGCAAAATAGGTGGCATAACTTTTGATAATGCTGAGTTTGATTTGGCAGAAAGATAAGATGTTTTACAAAAAAAAAATTTATAGACTACATGAGGAAAAAGCCAAAGTTCTGGGAAAGAATGTTCCATTCCAGCCCTCCCCAGAAGTCAGCATTCATGGCAAGCCTTCTCGTTGTCAGGGGCAGCCTCTCTGGAGCCTCCAGAGGGACAAGCAGGGAGAGTGAGAGCCAGAGAGCACGGCCCAGGTGGCACCCCAACACCACGGCCCAGGTAGCACCCCAACACCACGGCCCAGGTAATACCCAGGTAGCACCCCAACACTGTGGCCCAGGTAGCACCCCAACACCACAGCCCAGGTAGCACCCCAACACCATGGCCCAGGTAATACCCAGGTAGCACCCCAACACTGTGGCCCAGGTAATACCCAGGTAGCACCCCAATACCACAGCCCAGGTAATACCCAGGTAGCACCCCAACACCATGGCCCAGGTAATACCCAGGTAGCACCCCAACACCATGGCCCAGGTAGCACCCCAACACCGTGGCCCAGGTAGCACCCCAATACCACGGCCCAGGTAACACCCCAACACCACAGCCCAGGAGGTAATACCCAGGTAGCACCCCAACACCATGGCCCAGGTAATACCCAGGTAGCACCCCAACACCATGGCCCAGGTAGCACCCCAACACTGCAGCCCAGGTAGCACCCCAACACCGTGGCCCAGGTAGCACCCCAATACCATGGCCCAGGTAACACCCCAACACCACAGCCCAGGTAATACCCAGGTAGCACCCCAATGCCATGACCCATGTAACACCCCAACACTACCATATGCAGATCCAGGCCATGAGAAAACCCAGCCTTGCTCAGCTCTGGGACCCCAGGAAAGATCCAGATGTCGGGCAAATGTCCTACTACCCAGGAGCGTTTGATCCCCCTAGGGGCCAACATGTGGAGAGCAGACTTCCCCAAGGATGGGACAAATGGCGCCTGACCTGCAGCATCACTGAACAAAGACGGCGTCTATCTTCTCGCCGTGAATACTGTCATCAAGCCCACATGCCACAAAGCACTACTCCAGCTGCTGGAAGAGTGACAGCTGATGTGTGCAGCGTGATTCACAATTTACAAGGCATTTCACGTCGATTCTAACATCCACTCTTGGCAAGGACCCACTGAGGGCAGGAAGTTCCTTATAAGGATCATTTACAGGAACACAGAGGCTCAGCAGGGAGAAGAGACCTGCCCACAGTCACCGACAGAGCCAGGAGGCGACAGAGCTGGAGACTGTCTCCCTTCCCAGACTGCATATAGCTCCCCGGCCCCGTTCCCTTCGCAGCCCCTCTCTCTCTCCCAACAAGAAAGGCGGCATATGGTCGCACAGATGAAAGGAGAAAGTCAAGTGGCAGGAGCACGCAGAGGAGCCGGAACCAAATCGCCATCTCCGTCTGGGCCGCGTGACAAAACAGAATTCCTTAAAAGTGGCAAACGGAATGCAGGCCACATGTTCTATTCTGGTCCCTGGTGGTAAATATAATCCTTGGTTAATAGAAAACTATTTTTCCCTTCTCTATACAAAGAGCTTACAGTAGCACCCCCCAGAAACCAAAAAAAAATGCTTCACTGCATTTTTGCATTTTCCCCAGGAAATTCCAGTCAAGCAGACCGTGCATTCCCTCTTTTGAAGAACTCTGCCCAAGACTCTGAGGTCCTTGCCTGCTACTGGTTAAGGAACCCATATCAGGAGGAAAAAACAACCACACGTGTTCTCAGGAGCTCCCCAGAAATGCAGCCTCACGGTGCCAGGACAGATGATAACCACAGCTTCCTGCTTACCACAAACACGCGAGGATCTCCGGGACCCTCACGCAGGGAGAGCCAGGGGGACTCGCAGGTGAAAGCCTAAACAAAAGCAGTTCCACGCGATGTTAGCAGGGAAAGGGCCACCACATGGGCAGGAAGCACCTGTGCCCTCATCCAATTCTGAGGACAGTCAGCTCCCGGAGGAGCAAGGATCCCGGGTGACCGGGTGGATCAAATAAGCAGTCGATCAAAATCCCCCCCACCGTCCCTCTCCACTGTGTCTTCTCTGGACAGCCAGCCTGGCCAGACGTTGCTGCGGAGGACACGGCCTCCATCAGACCTGGGGCCTGAGGGACAAACGGGGTCAGCTAGTGCCACAGTGCCTTAGTGGCCAGCACTCCCACCCTCCGTGTAGCCAGCAGCCACTTTCCTGTTTTACACCCAAATAGAGTCCTTTGCCTGGTAGAGACACCTGGTAACCAGGCAGGTAGGCATGGGGCTGCACCGTGCAGGGCCTCGTTTCTATCTGCCAGTCCCAGTTGGGGTTCCACTTGGAAACAGAGCCCGAGACAAGAAGGCCTGGGGCACAGCACTGTATCTGGGAGAGGATTTCACATAGCACCAGCGAAAAGGCAAAGGGAGTGAGAAACGGGAAAGAAAGCACCAGTAACCTAGGCTGCAGTGTCTGGCAGGACCCACGGGGACTTGACCTGGCTGGGGCGTCCGAGGAACTGCGGGGAAGGTGCCTCTGAGCTGCCACTCCAGAGGGCGGGAGGCTGGGCATTTACCCATCCCACCACACACCTGCCTGGGACACTTGGGTTATTGTTGTGCCTGTGCCACAGTGAGGAAGTGACGCTTGGAGAAGTCGCATGTGCCTGTGAATGCAGAGCCAGACTTTGACCCCAGCTCTCTCTGAATCCTGAACAAACTTCACGTGGATCATCTACACATGCCTTGCAAAGATCAGGTATTCCATACAAATCTCTGACATCAGACCCTTAAATTAACATGTGAAGGTGTTTTGTGCCATGCCAACCATCCCCTGATGCCCAATGAGTAGCCAGCTGGCTGCCAGCCAGATGTGGACCTCGCCCTTCCATGTGGTCATCCAAACAAACCCTAATTTCGTGAGTCTTGTGATCCCAAAGCAGCAGCTGCAGTGGCCAGGGCCCGAGAGGGCCACGGAGGGCGAAGCCATTGCTGGTAGCACTAAGCCTGAGAGGTCAGGCTCCCTGGTCCCCCAGGGACACCCAGAGGAGACCCCCCCACCTCAAAAATCCAAGCTCCAGAGGCCAGGCTGGCATTCATTGTCCCAGCACTAAAGGCATCAACCCCCGTGAGATCTGCAGGCACAGGCACTTGGGGCACAGAGGAAACACAGTGGCTATTTTTAAGAACCACGGCGTCCAAGCCAGCTTCCC